TACAGTCTCCTGGAGGAAGGCCTACTCCCGTGTCTTCTCCTTAAAACAGCCGAGTGATGTCCTGTGCACATGAGTTCAGTTTAGGCCACTCTCCTTTTAGGAAACCCAACCGCCTGGCCCCGGTGGAAACCTTATCCCTTCATGGACTCCACACATCCAGCCAAGGGAGCTATTGTACCTAGGGGGGGAGGGGGGTGACAAAACAGAACCCTGGGCCCTCACCCCTGAGCCCACCCCTTCCATCCAGCACGCCCTTCTGCCTTCCTAGCACATGTGCTTAGATAACAAGGTTTCCTTCCCTTTGATGTCCCACTTCAGTGTGGCTGTCTTCATGGGGTTCCCCATGAAGTACCCCATTACCTCTCTGATTTTTATAGTACTCCATCCCCCTTTTATGGTACTGCTCTAGATTTCTGTTATTATCTGGTTGTTCTAAGTGTTCTAACACACTTCTGTTATAATCTGATTGTTCTAAGTGACATACTACTCTTAACTCTGTTCACCCCGTCTCCTCACCTGTCCACTACCTGGGACAATAGACTTCTTGTATGTGACCAAAGGTCAGTGGTTGTTTGTCCAATGGATTTCAGTGTTGACGCAAATCCCGGAGCACGAAGGCTTGCACATAGACTGGTCGGGCATAATAACCAGGAAGACTTCCAGATTTGGGAAACTCCCGTCTTGAAAGACTAAAGAGGACCGCGAGTTATGTGGGTCCCACCACAGGAGGGGTGTGGGCTCTTTTTCTGGTTGAAAGGAGGCAACCATTCTGACTCAGGGAAGCCCGAGCGTCAAAATTAAACTGCTCTGCAGAGTTTCAGGGGCTGGATTTCTGGAAGGAGATCTCCAGGCCTTTCTTTCTGCATACACTGAGTGGACTCGCCCAGGCCTTTGCTGAGCTGCCAAGCTAAGAGCTTTATCCACTTCCACCACCCCGGACACCTGCGTTGAGACAGAGCCACGGATGGGAATGTGCATGCGCAACAAGAGCAGCTTCCCTGTCCTTCCAGGGGCCGGGTGCAAACATGGGCTTCCTCCTCCCTTTCTTGGACGGTTAGAAGCTACGCTTGCCTCAGTTTTGTCTTTTCCCACTTCCCCTGTCTCTTCTGTGCCCTTCCTCACCAAG